TAAAAAGACCTGCTCTCGATTGTTAGGAAAAAAATGACCCTCAAAGTCGGAACATGATATGCGACAATGCATGAAAACCTAACGTGGAGAATGGCACCGCCACTCCGCACTGCGTAGAGCTATCCCTTCTTTAATGGTCTATGTTTTTAAAACTCTGTAATTACATGTACATAATTTGTAAAAGTTAAATCACTCTTGCGCCGGCACGCATTTCTACTTTTGCAAGCCCTCTGTATTACATTCCACCTATAATTAATTATCAACAGGCTTCAAAAACGAAAACAATTTATTTGATTCCGTTGTTGTTTATTCAGCTAAATATCGTTGTATTAGAATCTTAAGTAAATACCGTTGTTGACAGAGTTTGACACATTTTGGCTGTATGTACAAGGTTGTTATTATATCACACTTTGTTTTTGTTGCCTGTTTGTGTTAGGTTTTGTCGCTATGTTTCCAGGAAAATATTACGCCCGCATGTATATTATATAATATAGCCTACACACACCGCTTGTAGAGAAACCTGTAGTGTATTTTGCCTATTATTTAACATATGAAATCAAACATTGACACAGACATATTCCAAAGTATTTCAAGAAGTGTATCATCTTTTGTTTCTTAATCATGTCTCATATGGTGGCACAGCGTTAAGCACAAATTACTGGTACCCCTTGATTTCACGGAATTGTCGCCCCTTGGAATGATGCAACATTGGCATGTTCTGCACATTGGTCGAGTCAGTTTTTGTTGTTGTGGTAGACCGTTCCCGTCTTCAGTCAACGCTTGTCCCAGTCGCAGTACAATGTTAATGTCACTTTGGGAGCTCACTATGGGTGGCAAGTAGGATGGCCATGGCGAAACATTCACATTTTGCTGCTGAAGATATTGCACCTTTACACAGACCTGGTATACTGACCTTTATACAGAACTGGTAACCGGGAACAAAGTCACGAAGTATACAAACCCGGTAGGGGAACTCTTTTGTGATTTCGGAAAGGTTCAGCGCTCAGACCAGGTAGTGTCTTCTGGTAGGAAAGATCTACACCTAGCCTTCTTGGACAAGGGCGAAAAATCTCGGAGGTCCCGTGTGCAAGTTGCGTGCGCTAAAGATCCCTTTGTGGTCTAAAATAAAAAAACACAATACATACATATTATAGAATACACATATAAATATATATGTACATATGCATAT